GACTGTCTTGACCAAATATCGACCGAATTCAATTCTAAGATCCTTAAACTCCACAATTTTAACCAACGATCCAAGTCACTTTCGAAAGACCTAGAACCCAAAATAACTGTCCATCCAGCTCAAAATTCACCTTTCAAATCTAATGTAACTTTTGTAATTCCATTCCGAGCTTGTTTACTTAGAATATTGACTTTGGTCAAACTTTACAATTCAAACTTCCAAAATTATAAAACTTCTCTGAAACTCATCCTATCACCTCAAGAATCGTGTCACCCATCTCCACAAATCACAAATGACATATAGAAGCTACGAAAAGAATAAAAACAAGGTAAGCTGAATGAGAACATTAAAAATAGTAAGGATCATTACAAAACAACAACTCAAATTCAAATCAACTTGATCTCACATCATGTCCAAACAATATAAGTCTTTTGACACAAATGACTTATACGATAATTCAAAATATGTGATTTTAAAAATGAGATAAAGTGTGAATAAACTTATATATTTAAGCTAGCTAGTAACAAATAAGCTCTTTATTGTTTCACATTGCTAGTCAAACTATCACAAACAAATTTAAATAGAGCTAGTAACTAATAATTAGACAGTCCAACATCCAAGGATATAAACTGTTATAAAACCCCATTGAAAACTAATGGAAGTACTCAATTTATTTAATAAAATGACTTCATTGAAAACTAATGAAAGTGAGAATTTAAAACTTTTGATTTCATTTATCTCATGGAAAAAAACCTTTTGATTTTAAAAGTTTGAGATCATGTTATGCATTCGAGGGTATGATATAATAATTAATGAAGTGGAATGAAAATTACGAGATCTCGAAATCAAATTTTAACAAAGATAGTATTTTATACATGATTTTTTTTATATTTATCTTAACTTAGCGTTACTTGATACATGTTACTATACTAATTAATAGAATATGACAATCATGTGAATTCAAAGTATTTTCACACTTCTTTTTGTCGAAAAAAAGAATATTATTTATTGATTTGATGTAAACACGAAAGATACGTGTGACTTACATATTTCTTTTGACTAACAAATTCCTTGGCATATTTCAAAAGTATCTAATAATATATATAAATAAAACGTTTTATATATTTATTGATTTGATGTAAACACAAAAGATGCGTGTAACTTACGTATTTCTTTTGACTAAAAATTTCTTGGCATATTTCAAAAGTATCTAATAATATGAAAATAAAACGTTTTATACATTTATTGATTTGATGTAAACACAAAAGATACGTGTAATTTGTATATTTCTTTTGACTGGCAAATTCTTTGGCATATTTCAAAAGTATCTAATAATATATAAATAAAATATTTTATATATTTATTGATTTGATATAAACACGAAAAATACATGTATCTTACGTATTTCTTTTGACTGACAAATTTCTTGGGATATGTGCATTGTGGATGACAATATGTTGAGGTAGTAGGTCCCATATAATGGCACCTTCTACCTAAACAACAAAATAGAGCATTGAAACTTTTTCTAGATAATTCTATTTGTTTCATTTTATATGATATCTATATTATTTAAGTTATTGATAATATTATTTTTCTTATAGTTATTCAATTTCTTTTCACCATAACAATTTTTGTTTTATAAGTAATATTTTGTGCAACTTTTGTCCACAAGCTATGACTTAGGAAATACTTTACATATATGTATATTACTTACATCAAATAACTTAAATTTTATAATTATTAAATGCCGAATTAAAATGAAAATATATAATAAGTAATAAATGTATATAAATGAAACGTTTCATATATTTATTGATTTGATGTTAATGTCGAGAAAAGTAAGTATAACTTCTTACTTTTATGACTTTGACAAATGCATTGTGATGTGTGCATTGTGGGTCCCATATAATGGAATCTTTTACCTAAACAACCATCATGGGGCATAGGATTCCTTTTCTAAGTCCATCTGTTTCATTTTATATGATATTAATATTAATTTATAAATAAAAAATAATAGACAAAAATACGGAGATAATAAGCTATTTTTAAAGTTAAAATATGTAAATGACTTTTTTGAATAACTTAAGATGCAACTTATATATCTTTTATTATTTTTCATATTTATTTTTAAAAGAATAATTTATTTGAAATCATTAAAAGTTATTATTTATAATATATTATGTAATTTTTAAATATACAAAATATTTCAAGAGAGAATAATAAGATATTGATCATTCATGCTAAAAATTTTATCTCAACTGTTCTTTGATGAGATTCAAATTACATTTTCAATTTTGTTGTTTCATACTCTGAATTTTACAGAATTAATATCTATTATATAGAAAATGAGAAAAAGTTAAAAATAAAATTTCAAATCATGATTATTTGTACAGACAATATAATATTTGAAACATATCAAGCACCATATGAATGACACATATTTTTATGTGTGGAACCTACAAATAAGTATGTGTCAAATGTGAATGAGATATCACTCTTCATAAAATACTAATTTTTTTTAATTTAAAATTAAAAATAGAACTTTTCTTTTAAGAAAGAGATCATAAATTTCATATTCAAAGGTCAAATATATGGTTATTAAAAGAAAAAAAAGGTCCCTCTTAATTTTCTAATTTTATTTAAAAAATTAGAAACAAATGAGAGAGAAGGGGGACATGTGGGCCTTTGGGTTGTTCTAGAACAATGGGGTACTAACTTAATATTTAAAGTTAGTAAGTTCACAATAAATACAATTTATTAAATATTTTTATTTAAATAAATATTATTTGCATATGCATAAGTGATTCAAGTCAAAAATATTGCGTTCTTAAAAAGTTCAAAGAAAAAGTAGAAACTAATGAGAGAGAGAAAATATAAGGTAGATGTGAATTTAATTTTATAGTTAATGAGTTTTAAATAAATGAAATTTATTATTCTTATATTATTAAATTTTATTTGTATGAATATATATAATTCAAGTCAAAAATAATAAATTCAGTTGAACCTATTAAATTCAAGTCCGCAAAGGAAGGTGAAAGAAGAAAAAAGATAGTCAAAACCTTATTTTTCATTTATTAGACCTTTAACAACTAGTACTAAAAATTTGCAATTTTCCCATGAATTTTTCAATGAAACATCGTCGATAATTTTACATTTTCAATAATAATAATTTGTCAGACATTTTTCAACGAATATATTTCTCATATTTGTTAAACAAATGAAGAAAGTATTACTTAACAATTCTGTAGGAATATTTATTTTTCATTTATAAAACTACATTGAATATATTATTAGGAATTAAACTAAATTGACTCCAAAGAAACCATTTCATGTAATTCAATCAATTATATAGTCCTTTATGTACATTTTGAAGTGATCCTGATTTATTTTGGAGTTACTTGTAATGTACTTATTTGTAAAATCAAGCAAAGACATTATATGATTATTTTTAAAATTCCACATATGGTTTGTTTAAAGTTTTTTTCCGTCCTATATTAATTGATCATTTTTTTTACACGCATATTCAGAAATCATAAATAAGAAAATAATTTTATTAATTCACCCTTTAATTTTTCAAGAAGAATTAATTGCAATGGTAATATATGAAAATTTTAATTAATGCCTTCTTAATTAGTAAAGTGGACAACTAATGAAATATCTATTTTTAAACCACAAAAGCTTCTAAAACATTAACCCTTGTATTTTTTAAAAATAAAAATGAAGATTTGTAATTCTGACAAAGTACAAATATTAAATGCAACCCAAAGTACATCAAGATCTACTAAAGAATAATCCTTATATTCTTATTATATAGTATTATAAAAAAAAAAAATACAAGTGGTGAAAAGTAGAAATCTTTCATGTACTTCCACATACTTTACTTCCATTACATAAGCATTAAATTTAAAAATCCTAAATCCATTTTGAGAGCTTAAACATTTACTATCATTTTCCATTAAGTTTTGTATATATATCATAGCTAAGTCAAACTATGCAAATGACTATTATTATTACTTTCCTTGTTTTAATGTGATGCATTTTGACCGATCATAAAATTTAATTAAATTATTTTTTTAAATTGTAATTTAAATAAACTATAAATATTCATATAATTATAAATTATCTTATTAAAATAAATATATAAATTAAAATTTAGTTATTAGGAATATAAAAAAATATTATCATTATTTAATTTTTCGTGAGGTAAATTAAAAGGAAAGTGTATCATATAAATTAATATTGAGGGGATACTAATTTTTAATGTTTATAATATTACATCTGTTTCAATTTATATGGTTTGATTCAATGTACGAAAATCAAATTAATTAATGTCCAATATGAATTCAAACATAAAATCTCTCAAATAAAATTTACATATTTAGAGACTATACAAAAGAAAAAAACTCTAAATTATTTATTAATTCAAAATATTTTATAAATTATTTATGTATGGAGTATTATTTAGCACAAATATCAAAAGATTGTTTCACCAACATTTCCCTATCACCTACCCAACAAAAAATAAAAAAAAAGTTGAGGACATTTTTGTCCACAAATATATATTTATTTATTCATTTATGACTTTATTGACAATAACAATAATAATAACATATTATAATGGTCTCGAGAAGGTAAAATGTACCAATCTTAACCTTATTATTTATGAAAGAATCTCTAATTTTCATAATAATAACATATTTAATATAATTTCATAAATAAAATTAAAAAAATATATGAAATATATAACCTTACATATCTCGTGACGTTGTGGAAATAGAGAGGTTGTTTCCGATATGCTCTAGACTTTTATGACCAAAAAAAAATAATTAAAATTCTTTATCATAATTCTTCTTCTTCTTCTCCACCTCTTCACTCTCAGTTCCTTTTTTTTTTCTTGCATTTTCTATGAACAAAACTTTGTTCACCACTTCTGCAAAACCTCAAGCTTTCTTCTTTGTTTCATTTCCTAAAAACCCAAAACCCCATTTTTGATCTGTGAAATTCTTGTTTTTCAGTTGTAGAGAAAAAATGGGTTCTCTTGTCCCATTTCAAGACCTTAATCTTCAACCTGAATCGACTAATTTCACATCTGCTACAACCCCAAATCCAAGAATTATCCCAAAGATTGAACCAAAACTTGAACCCCTTGATGAGTATACACAAGCTGATCTTCAAAGCACACCTTTTTTTTCCAACCCTAGTCCCAATTTCAACTCAAGTTCTGGTTCAGCTTTTACCAGGAACCCACAATTAGCTACTCCTGAGGCTGATTCACAATCACCAAGTTCGATTGTACCGGAGATTCCACCTGGGTGCGATGGAAACAATGTTTATGTTTATTCGGAATATAATCGAATTTCTGAGATGTTTAAAGAAGCTTTTACTAAGAAAATGCAGCGGTATGGAGATGTTGAGGTGGTTGGAAACCAGAATCAGGATTCTGCTGATGAGGTTATGGAAGACCCTGATGCTCGAGCTATTGTTCCGGTGAGTAATAATGATACACAGGTTGCAGAAGTGGTGGTTGCTAAAAGGAAATATCAACAGAGATCAGCGGAATTGGTTAGAGTGACAGATCTTAAGGTTGAAGATCAGCTTTATTTTCGAGATGCTGTTAGGAAAACCCGAATGCTGTATGATTCCTTGCGAATTCTTGCGATGGTGGAAGATGATGGAAGCCAGCATTTGGGTCCATATAGAAAGCCAAGAGGTGATTTGAAGGCTTGTCAAATATTGAGAGAACATGGGTTGTGGATGAATCGTGATAAGCGGATTGTTGGGGCGATTCCTGGAGTGCTTATTGGGGATGTGTTCTTCTTTAGGATGGAGCTTTTGGTTGTTGGATTACATGGGCAGGCTCAAGCTGGGATTGATTATGTACCTGCAAGTCAGAGTTCGAACCGGGAGCCAATTGCTACGAGTGTGATTGTTTCAGGTGGCTATGAGGATGATCAAGATGGAGGAGATGTGATTATATATACAGGTCATGGTGGACAGGACAAACACTCGAGGCAATGCGTGCATCAGAAGCTGGAATGTGGGAATTTGGCATTGGAGAGAAGTATGCACTATGGAATTGAGGTAAGGGTAATTCGTGGCTTTAAATATGAAGGAAGTGGAAGTGCAAGTGGTAAGGTCTATGTGTATGATGGATTATATAGAATTGTTGAATGCTGGTTTGATGTTGGGAAGTCTGGATTTGGAGTGTATAAATACAAGCTTGTTAGGATAGAGAATCAGGAAGAGATGGGAAGTGCTATTCTTCGTTTTGCACAGAATCTTAGGATCAGACCTTTGGTGGCAAGGCCTACTGGTTATGTTACTCTTGATATATCAAGGAAAAAAGAAAATGTGCCAGTGTTTCTTTTCAACGATATTGATGATAATCACGACCCGGCTTATTTTGAATATCTAGTAAAACCTATTTATCCTCCACATGTCTCTCTGAATGTGCACAGTGGTAATGGCTGCGAGTGCATTGATGGGTGTGCTGATAATTGTTTTTGTACTATGAGAAATGGTGGCCAATTTGCCTATGATTATAATGGGATATTGTTGAGAGGCAAACCGTTAGTATTCGAATGTGGACCACATTGTCGATGTCCTCCAACTTGTCGGAATAGAGTGACTCAGAAAGGTTTGAGGAACAGATTTGAGGTGTTTCGGTCTAGAGAGACTGGTTGGGGAGTTAGGTCACTGGACTTGATCCAAGCTGGGTCCTTTATCTGTGAATATACTGGGGTTGTACTCACACGAGAGCAAGCCCAAATTTTTACAATGAATGGTGACAGTTTAGTCTATCCAAGTCGCTTTCCTGATAGATGGGCAGAATGGGGAGATTTGTCGCAAATATATCCTAACTATGAGCGCCCAGCATACCCCTCCATTCCTCCTCTGGATTTTGCTATGGATGTGTCTAGAATGAGGAATGTAGCATGTTATATTAGTCACAGTTCAAGCCCCAATGCTTTGGTGCAGCCTGTGCTTTATGATCACAACCATGTAGCGTTCCCCCACATGATGCTCTTTGCAATGGAGAATATTCCCCCTCTAAAGGAGATCAGTATTGATTATGGGGTAGCAGATGAATGGACAGGAAAGCTTGCCATCTGTGATTGACTAACTTATAGTAGTTGATTCAATTTTGAAAATGATGCGGCACAGCTGTTTCTCGTACATCATTTGCTGAGGTAATTTAAACATTCAAGACAATAATTCCTGTTGAACTCAAAATTGTAACGACTTTCAGTAACATGTTTTCTTGAGGGATGACTGCTAATTACCAGTCTAGTGGTATTAGTCGTTTTCTTACTCTAGCTACCTATTACTTTTATTCTGAATCTCTTCGTAGACTATTTGAGACCGATTTCATTAAAAGTTGTGCCAGTCTTAAATTTATCTTGCTCTGGAGACTTCTGGACTTGCTATTCTCCTTCTATTGTGAATTTTAACAAGCTGATTGGAACTCCAATTGCTTTGTTGAGTTTTTATCAGTATGCTATATGCAGTTTGAATGCATCTTAACTGATTTATTGAATGAATTTGAACTTTTTTTCATGCTGGTCTGCATACATGGTATCATCCCAGACCCCACTTGTGGGACTACACTGGGTATGTTGTTGTTTCATACTTATTGATAAGAATTTCCCTTTTCCCTCTTTGCTTGTCTTTTTAATGGCTTATAGCATGATTTTGTTTCTAATTAGTTGTGCTCTTGCCTTGATAGATCCCTTCCTCTTTAGATTTCGTATCTAAGGAACTTTTTGCACAACTGCTGAGTAGTACTCCCTTGTCCCATAATAGTTGTACAACTTTCTTTGGCACCCAAAGTTGTGGCCGCTCAATAAAGCGGGTAAAAACTGTAGGAGAGCGAGGACAAAACTTAAGAAGATTTTTCCCATCCACCTTAGTCTTGGTAGACAGTGCTACCCAGTACCTGTGTGCTGTGTTGGTATCCGGTGAAATAGTTGAAGTTTGCATGTTGACATGGACACCGCCACCGCCACACACTACTTTAACTGGCTATTCTACATGGAAAAGGGCAAATGACAGAAATGGAATTGAGTGGGAGTTAGGAGTTTTCTTTTAGGAAGGGTACTTTGGTGATTACCAAAAATGTGGGGATGAAGTAGTAAAAATCTTGTCTAATCTAGAAGTACTTATAAGCTGAAAAGTGCTAGTGCTTATACAATAAGTCAATCCAACTTATAAGTTTTACCAAACACCCTAGAGTATGATAAATTATTTCGAGTTGTAAAAGAGGGTTAAAAGTGAGGTTTTGATAATAATTAGTTGAGAAGATGTCGAGATGCTTGACGTAATTTTTAATTTATTCAAATATCAACCTTGTTCAAGGGGAGGTTTATTTTGGAAATGAACCTTAATGTGAAGTAGGTTAGATATGAACACAGTGGAGGCAGCTATACTAATGGAAATGTCTTTTCGTTTTTAGGAAAAAAGAATGTCTAGTATTCTGAAACAAAGGTAGTAATGTAATTAAGTTAAATACTAACAGGATCAACTGGAGGAAAGAATACTCTCCCTAATGCCATATTTTTTTAGTTTCTTGGTGTCCAACCGTCAATTGCGACATGAGCTATGCTGTTGAGGTTTTGCATGCTGTGATTGCTAATTTTCTCATTTAAAGAAATGCTCAAAGGGTGTCCGTTTTAACTTGAAGTACCTTGAACAGATTAGACAAGTTATATGGTGGGTTGTAGTGGCTTAATTACAGGGACTCTGCTTCCTTAAGTGGTCAATGGTGCGCACAAGAAGAGAAAGAGGTTGGGGGAAAAGAACTTGTCTTGAGACTTATCAATCTTTGTGAAAAAAACAGTATTGTAGGTATCACCTTTACAAAGTAGGTCAAGTTTAAAAGGTAAATATATTCCTTACCATTAGAGGAGAATGGATATGGCAATGGTGGGGAGCCAGAACGGATGCTTTCCCCTGCTAACCCCCAACTTTGCCCCACACACTATATGCTCACTCTCTTTCTTCTCATTAATTTTAGTCCCTTTTTCATCATTTTCAATTGTTTATTGTATTTTCCAAATTTGATTTTAATGTCATGTACCAAATAACTGTGTTTTCTCTTTAGATGTTAAGTTAAACATTTGAAGGAAGAATCATCAAGTCATCAATATATAAATTATTATATATGAACAAAAGAATAGAAGGCATTTAGAGGATAGTGTTGGATACCTTGCCCATAAATAAATGGGATGCCAGAAGTAAACCTTCGAAATTTGAAAAGTTTCAGGTGGTTGGCGCACCATTACATGACCTCTTTGCTTCCAATTTGGAGATAATAATTTGCTCTTCCACTCTGTTGGGTCACATCTAAGAGTTTGACCAAGCCTTTTCCTATCCCACTCTTCTGGCTTTCTATCCAAAGAGGTGGATATATAATTTAGGTTCGCTCTTTGGTTAGAACAAAGATGGAATATGATGCGTTGCTTGATGATTAATGAGCATGCACATGTATATGATTTCACCATTTTTTATGTTTTATTCCATATGATCCTATTCTTTATTTGTTCCATTTCAAAAAAGATTTACTCAAAAAGTAGACCAAACCTTCAAGTTATATTTCCTTAGTAGCAACTAGAGGTGTCAAATGGGCTGGTTGGGTTGAAACTAGAGATATTAAAATGGGTTGAAATAGAAATTGGGTTGGGTCCTAATCCGTCGAAGTTTACTTTGGGCTCAAATGAGCTTAAAGATGAGTTGGGCCTTGACTCGCTCAATTTGACCTGCTTAATCTCTAATTATTTTAATATATTGTTATTTAAGTTTTATAACCACAATTTGAATTTCAACTCAAGAAAATTTAAAAAAGAAGAAGTTACAAATGGATAGATAAATCCTAAAAGATGTAAAATAGATAGTTCAATATAGGAACATACATTACATCAATACAAATAAAAAGTCTTAAAACGGGTTGAAATTGGAGATTAAATTGGGTTCAATTGTGGGTTAAGGCTTGAATGAGTTGAGATTGAACCCAACCCTTAAAATTCTGGGCGGGTTACCTATTGTTGGGCTCATTTTTGACACCCCTAGTAGCACCCCAATGTTGTGGCCTAGTGGTCGTTGTAGTGGGAGAAGGACCATGAGTTCTTAGCTTAGTTGCGTGGACTCTTCACTTTGATGCCGCATCCGTGTTGGACTTTCCAAAAATGCACTACTTTTGGCAAATCCGACACGCACCCGTTGAAATTTTTGAAGAGTCCGAGCAACATAGGTTCTTAGGTTCAATCCTAGTGGAGGCTAAAATCACTAGGTGACTTCTCCCATCTGCCTAAACCTTGGTAGACAGAGTTATCCGATATTTATGCCGGTGGAGGTACCCCCCCCAAACCATCATCATAAAAAAAGGGTTATATTTCTTTCTTGAAGTTTGCATGTCTACCAAATCTGTAATTTTCTGCAGCAGAAACATACTAGATAACATTAATTAATTTTGGGTTCTTTGGACTTGTTGAGTCTAAGCTATTTTACGAAATAAAATGTGAGCAATAACCAACTAAGAAAACCGCTTGTTACAAATAAAATCTTCTTGTTCAAAAGAGATAATGTTACTAATCTGACCGACACTGAACTTGGTATAATGAAATAGTTGAATGATTGAAAAACTAGATTATTCAGGAAATACATATTGAATGCTGATGTTATGCATTGAATTTCTAAATCTGCACTTTTGTACTTTATCTAGTACCTTTTTGGTAGTGATGTTAATAAAATTACCATTACCGTATTAATTTTTTTTTATTGACTTGTTCAACCTGACATCATTAATGAGTCACTAGTTCAACTGTCCCTCGAAAGATAAGTGTTAAGTAGTCCCACATCGGTAGAGGAATGAGAAATTGGTCTTCTTATATGGACTTGGATGAACCTCCCTCCTGAGCTTGCTTTTGAGGTTGAGTTAGGCCCAAGTACTATATCTTAACATGGTATTAGGGCCAGACCCATCCCAATTTGTTGTTCACTGATGTTGGACTCCCATTTATAAGTTTTCACGCTCCAGTTGAGGTTTGTGCATGCAAGGGAGTGTTAAGAAGTCCCACATCAGTAGAAGGATGGAAAATTGGTCTCCTTGTATGTACTTGAACAAACCTCTCCTCATGGGCTAACTTTTGAGGTTGAGTTAGGCCCAAGTACCATATATTAACAATAAGGTCGATAAGTACCATGCAATTGACACCCATTCTATATTTAGAAACTTTTATATTGACACCCATTCTATATTTAGGGCCTACTTGGATTGACTTAAAAGTTGGTCAAACCTACATTCAAGTCTTTTTTAGCTTTTGAAAGTGTTTGGCAAGGTTAAAAATAACTTAAAATAAGTTAAAAATGACTCAAAAAAAAAGTTAAAAACCAAAATTAGGAGTCACCCTACTTTTTATTTTTTGACTTAAAAGTCATTTATGTTTGACTTTTTTATTTTTTGACTTAAAAACTACTCCCTCCGTCCCATTTTATGTGGCACCATTTCCTTTTTGGTCAGTCCAAAAAAGAATGTCACATTTCCTTGTATGGTAAGTATTTAAAGGTACAATTCCTCTTTTACCCTTGTTGGTCCCACTTAAAATCTTAAAATAATACTCCAATACATTTATGAGGAGAGAGAAAAGTGAGTCTACTTTTTAAAGGGCAATTTGGTAAACATTTCAAAGTCTTCATTTATTTCTTAAACTCCGTGCCCGGTCAAATGTTGCCACATAAAATGGGATGGAGGGAGTACTTTTTTTTTAAGCCAATCCAAACAGACTCTTAGAAACTTTTATCATGATTTTCTAGGTTTTTTGCTAAGACATGCTCTTATAAGAATTGACATTACATGTTGATGAGTAGTAAGTTAATCTTCCATTAGTTGAAAATTTTAAATTTAGGAAGCTCATGTAAGCGATAAATTATGGATATTATAATGTCTGCAGGAATTGGATATATTTGTTTATATGTTAGTAAATAGTAATACTACTCCCGGAGCTTTTGCTCCGTGGTAAGAGCACAAAATGTGATGTGTGGATTAGGAGCATGTCAAGAGTTTGAACGCTACTGCAGTCAAAAGTCTGATATTCAAGTGGAGAAGAGTTGAGGGAAATACCTGTTATCCACTGAGAGTCTCGTAAGCAAGCTGGTCCTTTGGAATCTCTCGGTTGTCAAAAAGAAGTGATACCTACTTCTGTCAAACGTAGAGTATGCT